TGCTTTTTGGGGCTTTGGGGAAGGAATCCGAAAGCTTTAGGCCAAGCTTTTCCAGGAATCTTGAATCTAGTCGTTTCGGATCTACCTCTGTCCTATTCCTAAGCTGAGGTTTTGTCAGAAGATGCAAAACAAACGCTATGTCGGAGCCATTGGCCCAAATGTGAAAACGTACACAAGTAACATGTTGGAGCCAATGACGCAAAAGTAAGAAAGTAAACGAGTAAAAAAGTAAAAAGTAAAATTTTGGAGCCAATGACCCAAAAGTAAAGAAGTAAACAAGTAGAACAGTAAACAAGTAAACAGGCAAAAACAAGTAAACAGGTAAAACAGTAAACAAGTAAAACAAGTAATCTATTTCAGCCCATGGGCAAAGCATTTTACGTCAGGACCATGGGCTGATTTGTTTACATCGTTGTTTTTTTTGGTTGTTTCTCCCCCTTTTTTTGTAAAACATAGTACTTGCTTTACTTGTTTTTTTGTTTACATGCTTGCTTTTTACTTTTACTTTTTTACATTTGTTTTGTTTACTTTTTTGCTTTTGGGTCATTGACTCCAGACATTTGCTTTTACTTCTTTACTTTCTTACTTTGGGTCTCTGGCTCCAGAAACTTCTTTTTTTTGCTCTTGGGTCATTCGCTCCAGAACTTTATGCTTTTACTGTTGGGCTATTGGCTCCATACTTTTACTATATATATATATATTTTGACCTTTCCAACATACAGGAATTTGACAAAGTCGTGCCTCCGTTTGAGGCATTGCTTAAATTCCATGGGGGAGAGGGCTTCAAAGAAGTCGTGCCTCTTTCCAAAACGCATAGGAACTCTGCATGTTTGAAGGGATAGGCTTTTGGGAGGCATTGCAGTTGATTGTGATTCCGTGGGGTTTAGGATGGTTTAGGCATGTTCTATCTTATCCGCCTAGGAGCGCTTACAGTGTGTTTCGCAATCTTGAGACTTGATGTCTCTTTTGCTACAGCTGGTTCGAGTCGGCACCTTGCTTTTCCTCTCACCTGGACTAACCTGGCGTGTTTGCAGGGCTGAGCGGGTGCGCTTGAGGGGGTGCTTACTATTTGGCTGGCGCCTGTGCAGCGCTGAGCCGGTGTGCTTGAGCGGGGGTGCTGACCATTTGGCTGGCGTGTGTGCGCAGGGCTCGCTTGAGCGGCTGGCGTTCGCAGGTGCGAAATTGAAGCGAAAAGTGGGTGCGGAAGTGGGTTGATGGGAGCGGGTGCAGAAGTGAGTGAACTTGTGGGCGCGGGTTCGGCACATGTGGGCCCAAAATATCCCAAAACCTTCAACGGACGATCGGTGATCTCGCTTTGATCTCGTTTTGATCTCGGTTTGATCTCGTTTTGATCTCGTTTTGATCTCGTTTTTTTGCCAGGGCGCATTGCATATGTGCCTGCCTGCCTTCCAGAGAAAGAACTCCAGGACGTGGAAAAACACGGTGCAAGAGCCTGCAAAGCCCACCCATTGTGTCACGTCTTACTAAACTCTCCTGCAACAACCTATCGTATGCTTGGCGTTCCATTGGTTTTCATGTTCCTGCAGACGCCTCGCGGGGCTGGAAAACATGCTTTGCCATCAGTAGCGTTCCATTGTGTTTCAGTGTTGACACCTGTCTTTTGTAGCATGACCAGCTCGGTGATGTCAAGCGTTCCATGGGGATTGTTGCCGAGGCGTGACTTAGGAGTGACTTCTTGGAATCGGCGTTTACATGGGGGAACGCATGGCCACACAGATAAAGGAGTGACTTCGGCATGACTTTGTCTTTTGCCTGTAGCTGCTGTTTTGCATCTTTTGCTTAAACCTCAGCTTAGAATGGACCGGCTTAGGGTGTAGGGTTTGGGGTTTATAGACTCACGTTTATAGGAATCGGACTTGTGTCTCGCATTTGTTTGTTCGACAAATTTCATTAGAAACATATTGTTTTGCTTGTTTAGTGTGTTTTCTTGGAGTTCAAAGTATCCGATAGGGATTAGAGTTCAACAAATCAATTAGAATTCTTGTCTCAACATATCTTTGAACAATGACGTTACAAGGGGATCTGTTTCTAGGATGTTTGTTCAATTTTCTCATTGGGGTTCACATGGAATTTAATAAGGAAGACACCCTAGGAGAGTTTCTAGTTTAAAGAGAATTCAAACAGGATTTCTTTGTCGGACTAGATGTGTTGTCAAAATTCTATTTTGAACCTAGATGTTCAAACGGGTTGATTTGTTGGCATAGGTTCAATATAATTTAACCAGCACATATTCTATATAATAGAATGTCTTGTTTTAAAGAGAATATACATAGTGTGTGTGTGTGTTCTTTTGTTAAAGATGATTAATGATTGGAATTCTTCAGATAGGTGTTCTACAGGATGTCTTTTTCCATGATGATTCGTTCACTTTTCTAATTAGACCTGAAATAGAAACTAAAAGTGGAAAAACACCTTCTATAATGTCTAGACTTAAAGATGATTTGAAGAAGGATTTCTATTTTGAAGAACAGTGTGAATTGGGATTCTTACTTCAACACATTTTAAAACTCCCGTTCCCAGGAGATTGTTTCTCCATTTTCTATTTCGAACTTATTGGAATCTAATAAGGACATAATTATAGTAGAATCTGTATTTCAAGAAATAATTTGAATAGGATTTCCTTTTCAACAAAAACACATAATTGGAATTGTTATTCCTAATTAGATTTTGAAGAGGATTTCCTCACTTCGGGTGAGCTGATGCTGGTCAAGTCGCATGGGGCAATCCAAATAAAACAACTGCATTCCATCTCCAAAATAGCCTTCAAACAGCAAAAAGGTAGATCTATCGCGGGGGTTTCATATAATATATATATATATATATCAGATGTGTGGTTCATTCTATTGTCACCGAAAGCTAGTGCAAGATCTTTGCGTGAAGCAATGATTGATTGCAGGGTTGTACGACGTCTCCTGTTGATGTTCACATCCCAGATCTTTTGAATGTTTCTTTGACCATGAAATAGTCCCTGTTATGATCAGCGAGGGGCAATGTGGAGCACTTGACAGGAAGATTCACAGAACGAGTTTTCCCCGTTTGGCTGTGACACATACAGTTTTAAACATCACCTTTTGGAGGTGAAATCTAGTTGGAACCCTGTGAAAGGCAGCGGGGCGATTTGATTGGACAGGCGCGAAGGCAGATCCACGAGATGATCAAGCCTATTTTGACGCCTGTGCTGAATGGGGCCTTGTGAGGAAAGTGCTGATTTCAATTAGATGGCCAACCAAGTGTATTTCTACTTGGCCCCCTTAGGCGAATTTCTGCAATTGGAAGCCGCTTTCAGAGGGAGTCTAGGGACTCCTCATCGCCGACAACCAACGCATAGGGATTTCAGCTATGTACTTTGTAACTGTGTCCATTAAAAGGCAAGCACCTGCCGGTGTTCTTCATCCAACGCATGTGTTGGAATGTGTTTCCCCACCTGACTGGAGAGAAAGAGAGACAGAAAGCTGATGAGCGGGCTCAATGTTGGAAGCAGCTCGTTGCTCAACTATGACCTGTGCCAACCAACTTCGGCTTTTGTCGTGAATGTTGCAACTCAACCAACAACAAAGCATGCGAATCCATAGGCTTTCCCTTGTCTCTCACAGGGCATCAATCGTAGTACCCCTTTGGGGACCGTCGAGAGGCGCCCAGCTTCCATCCAGGCCCCTCGTTGCGCTTCACAACATATCAAGACCTGGATTCAGGTTAGCCTGAACAGGTAGCGAACAAAATTCATGGGATCTCCTTTTGGATCTTTGGGTAAAGGGTAACCCAAAGGACCCCAGCAGTTGTTTTGATTGCTTGGTTTAAAACATCCTCCATGGCCGTCATCACTTGCTTCATGCTCCACTCCGGTTTTGTCATCATAAGCACCAAGAGAGGTAGAACGCTTTCGCGTCTCCTGCACCTCATTGCTACAAGCCGATTGTTGAACGGCATTCTGAGCTGTTTGGCAAGCAAGTCCATTGCTCTGTTTCATCACCAACACTGGTCACTGGGCATGCGGGCATGCCAGTTGTTCCACGAAGAAAAGCACCAGAGCCGCAATCTCAGTGTCAAAATGCTCCCAGACGTGTTCGATGGGTACTCCAGCCTTTGCCCCCTCAATGCGGCTGGACCCCAGCCGGGTTGTTTCTTGGGGGTCCTGATCGTGCCTCTCTCAGGGACCAGCGCCGCGCGAAGGATGTGCCTTGGCCGGATTTTGGAAGACTCGCATGATATTAAAACGGCCGCCTGCCCACTTCCAGACTGGAAAGTGGCACAGATGTTCCTCATAAGTTTCGGGGGGCGTGAAGTCATCCTGAGGCAAATTTGCAGCGAGAGTCTGCGATTCACTCCAATGGCCCAAAGCCGACTTTCCCATAGGCCATTTTACCATAAAGGCCCAAGTCAATGGGATGGGAAAAAAAGGGGGACTTTGCAGCCAGCTTAAGTCAATGTCACAATGTAAAAATCGTTATTTGTTAGCGCGTCGTATTCTACTAGCTGGTTTCATGGGGTTAGAGCCAGGGCTTTTTCAACGCAAGCGTCCCTCATATACATCTGGGACAATTTATCGCGACCTCACAAAGCGACCCATTTCTGTCGGGTCGTTCTGGTTGTATGCTTTCGCTTCATAGCATAGAGGTCTCCTCCTTGCACCGGTATTTTTCCACGTTTCAGGGGTGGGCAGTAATAGCGTTTGGGGTGGGCCTGTCCCTCACAGTTCCGGTGTGCAGCAATGCATGACAGAACGACGTGGTTCTAGGAATGGCTCAAGTGTGCTCTCATTGCTGTGTGCTTGTCTACAGAGCAGACCGTGAATGTGAATCTGGTGAGTTGATCCTAAGTGGACATACATTCGAAAGGAGACTGATGAATGCGATAGCCAATTCAAGCAGACAGGGAGTAGCCATGAAAACCATGTTGGCTGGTTGTGGTTGCCTTTTTAGACAACATTCGTTTGATGCATCTTGATCATCGCTGCCAAGGACAAGACAGAGAAGGATTTCATGCAGTCTGTCTTGCAGCTTTGCTGCAATGTGCTTGGTGGATCCGGCTGTTGGCAAGCTCACCTTGGGGCACATTGCTCTCACCCATGGTGAATGCAGTAAAGAGTACGGATAGTTGTCCGGACCATTGCAGGATATTGCAGGCTTTGATGACCCAGGGCCGGGACAGCCCTGACATCTCCTTTCAAGCCTGTTTCATTTGCATGTTTGCGCTCGTTCGAGTGCCTTGTGATGCCAGAATGAATCCCTCTTTTTCGTGACTCTCGGAGGACATCATTTACATTGATGAATGTCCACCCAGCCATCGAACCAGCCCCCCCCCCCAGGGTGGTTTTTCGGGAGTCTGGCTTCTCCATGTTTTTCCGTAGGAACTCCACGTACCCCGATGGCCGGCCCATCACCGACGAGGAGATCGTCGGCTTTTTGATCGCGGCTTTCTTCGGCGGCGACTTGCCAGTGGGGCCGAAAGGGCAGAGGGGGCCACTGGTTACGTGTGCAAACCATGGGTTAAAGACAAAGAACATCATGGTTTATTGATGGTTTTGAATGGTGGGTGAGTGGGTGGTCAGGTTTCTTCGACATAAAAGTTGTCCCGAAGTTGGGACACACCCAAAAAAAGGCTCAAGCCCCAGAGACATTGTCGGCCATGTTGGTCATGTTAAATTATTCTCTTTGGAGGACACAGTTTTCTTTGCGCGTTTGTGGCAAATTGAGTGAGGCAACTTTGTGCTCCACTTGGCTGACACATTGGTTTTCTTTTGGTTTCCTTTAGAACAAGCCAAACAGGGTACCTCAAAACGACACACCTGGCAGTGACCTGCTAGATTTGCTGTGCTGAGGGCTGTAGGACCAATTGTCTTAGCTTGTGATTCTGAGAAAGCTTCCGCCATATATCACATCATCACAGTTTCCTGTGTTAGCAAGACTGGGGGTGGTGGTGTAATATAGGGACTCCTTGAACCAACACCCCACCGGTGGACCTACACGTGGAAGATGTAATTTGCCCTATGTGCCAAGCGCCTGTGAACCCAGGAATGCACAACAGCGCCATCACCACGTCTTGGTCCACGCGTCTCAGATGCAGATAGCTTGAACTGATCGAAATACCCGTGTTTTCACGGATGTTTTGGACCCTGAGAATTGTTGACAGGATGACCACAGCTCAAACAAAATGATTCCGGGATTTTTCTTTGTCTGCTTGTTTGGAATCCACGTGATCTACCCACATGTCCGCCTCATCGGGCCGTCTAGCATATCATTTTGCTACCACTTCACGTGAAGTCTTGGAGAAGCCCTCCCCAGCTTGACGTGGAACCCACTTTTGGGGGTCCCTCAAAAGGAGACTCTTCTGGTGTTTTTTGGGGTTCCATGTCAAATTTGGGAGGGTTTCAAGAAATTAGCTCAAGGCTGCGTGGAATCTATGCATACCGCAGCTGAACTTGGTGTCTTGCTGTGCTTAGCAAGATTCGTCTGGCTACCCAGGTCCCGGACGTACTTGCTAAGTTTGTTGCAGCTCTCATATATTGAATATTTCGGGGACATAGCATTCTTGTTGTAGTCCCGATTTGTTGCGTTTGCATCAAAGGCCGTGGCAGCACTGGCCATATCATTTGCAAAAGCTGAATTTCCTGATTGAGTATATTTGTCAAGTATGTCGGGGATAGTTTACAGGTATTCATTGCGATGTGCTTTTCTCAACGCATACGACAGCAGATCGTTACCTCGGATCACATATGTTTGTGTGTAGAGACTCCGAGCTTTTGACTGGTTTGAACATCGCGTGTGACATAATGCCCAGATTTGAAGGAGGCTGTGTAGAGGCACCATGGGCTTACCAGCATGGATATTCTTAGGTCAAATGCAGCACCGCTTGGTAGTTGAGGCGGATATATCCGGTTGCTTTGCACTGCAGCGTCCTGTGCGTTGGGTGTATCCGTTTCCCCATTGCACCATGTGTCAATGTACCAAGCCTCGACAACGCATTGCTTGAGTCAACATGAGGCCATTAGTTTTCACACTCAATTTGGCCGATATGGGTGTGGCTCAAAATTAAACAGGAGGGGTTACGCAGGTTTTGGTTCATGTGTCCACTTATCAGGGTTCCATAACTGAGCAGAAGGTACTTAGCTGCTGGCCCGGAAAACTTTGCTTTGTGGCTCCGTGCAAGGTTGGGCTGCACAAATAACTTGAGAAATTCCGGGTTCATTGTGGTGAGTCACCTTGCGTTGGGTAAAGCTGCTTGAAGTGACTTGAAGGCATACAGAGGTGGATCAACTGCGTCAGGAGGGGCAATGTCACATGCAACCATTGGATTGGCTCTAAAAAGAACAGGAGCCATAGTCTCAAAATCAGTCCAATCCCGCTTTTGCTCCCCAACTCGGTTAATTCTGCGCATAGACAAAGGGCTGCTTGGCCTGGGCTTGGGCTCCCAAACAGAACGCTACCCGAAAGATGTCTTTGAAACCCCGGGGTTTTTCGGGTTGCATGTTCATGTTCAGGGGAGTAGCTCTGCCAGGCTTGCACCTGCAAGTCATTTCGATGGCAACTGCATTGAAGGACCGCTCCTACATTGGATGGTCCCCCCCAATTTTTGGGCCCTTTGGGTACTCATTGTGAGCAAAATGAGGGTCTAAATAACGATGCTATGCATGTATTAATATAGTTTTAAAGTATTCCACGCCCCCATTCGAATTATTCAATCCCTCTTTCTGGCACTGCGCCTCACAATATCTCAAAATTAAGTCCCTGAGATTTCAGCACTCAGATCTCGGCACTCAGATCACGGCACTCAGATTTCGGCTCTCGGCTTTAGGCTCTCAGCTTTTAGGCTCTTGGCTTTAGGCAATAAGATTTAGGCTTTAGACCGATTCATTTGGCTCCAAGGCTGGAAATCTTCTCGCGCCCCGAGCTGGTGAAGGAGCTGCTGGCGGAGCAGCGGGAGGCTCCCGACCCCGCGACTCGCGACTCGCGACTCGCGCCCGTGCCGAGCCCGGGGCAAACGGGGGTGGGGAGCCCGATTTGCGTCGAGGGATGGGTGTTTTTTGTGGCCCTCCTATTTTTGTTTGAATCTGTCCAAATTGACGCATTGACATGTCTTGGTAGTATTGTTGGGCTTGGTCCTTGGTGCTATAGTGTCGCGGGCACATCGAGTCTGTGTGTTTGCTTGAACCTCGGAGTTGGCGAGGCTCTGGGCGGCGACTCAGCGCCCTTCACCTTCCAGGCCTATGAGAAGATGAAGAAGTCGCTTCGGCTGAGGATATTTTCTGCCCAAAGTAGCTTACATGTTCATTCAGAGCGTATAAACATACTTGTTCCTTATGGGACGAGCTTAACGACGACGCTTTTATGTTGCTTGAGTCTCCTTTTGGCGACCCTGCTTGGGATGGTTCTAGAAGGGAACCAACATGAAACCAACCTTTTTTGGGGGTCCCATTGGTTGGCAGCAAAAGGCAGGCATCTCCTGAGCTGCACATCCAGAATTTCGGAAGGATCCTCTTTCCACCCCCCAATTCTGAGACTTGCGCTTTGTCCACATCCCAGCCTGCGAAAAGCAACCAAACAAAACAGCATCTCGGCAAAGCGCGGAAGGTCCTGGCAAGCAAGCAAAATAGGCTGTTTAGTCTTAAAACAGTCTTTGTCAGGCCAAAGATCGCCATCAAAGAAATTGCCCATTCGCTGAGTAGGTGGTCAGCTGGAAGCCGGTTGAGCTGCTGACGCTTCTGTTGTTACTTGCCGTCATGCCATTCATTCATTCCCAGGCTGCCCACCCAGCTCCCACATGGTGAGTGATGTCGAAGAGTCAGCGTTGCCAGCATCGTTTCTTGCATCTTACGACAGACATCATGTTACCCGACCTATGTGGCTACGGACTTTGAGGGTCTCGACTTGTTTGTGAATTTCGCAGCAAGCCGACAACAGCGAGCCAGCTCCCACTTTCATTTTTCTGCGTCCTTCAAAGAGGATTCCACAGAAGTCATTTTTCCAGCCAGCCATACTTCGCTCAGGCTGCGGTCAGCCGTGAGCGAAGTCTTGCGGATGCATCCACCGCTCTTTTTGTTGATGAGAACTGTGGAGCAGGATGTGGAGTTCAAGGCAGGGCGAAACGGGCGATGACACAAGCGTCTCAAATGTAGCCAAAAAGGAGCTTGTGCCACAGGAAGAAAGCCAGGACTGAACATCTCCAATGAATTTGCGCACAATTGGTCACCTTTCTTGATTCTGCCGTATGTTCGGTTTCAGCTCTTCTGGACTACAGGTACCCCTGACCCAGTTGGTTTTGACGACTTCGGAAAATGATCCATCCACACTTCCACCTGCCAAATGCACTGTCCAGGAGAGCCGGTTGGGTTTCCCGATTCGGTTCGTATCAGTTCTCACGCTTGGAAGGGCAGTAGCTGATTTGTCTCCAACAACAAGAGCTTGACCTGAACGCCTTGAATCGGATGGAGGCCTCCAAAAAGGGAACCCTGGTTTCAGATGAGCTCGGTGCCCGATGAGTTTAATGAGTTCAGCAGAGCAGCATTGCACAAGCCTCGTTTGGCAAGGGCTACACCATCCGCCGCGGCTCTGTGGTGGCGACGTCACCCAATGTGCTTCGGGTGGCAAGGGCTTTCGGCTCTCCGGGTTCGGAATAGGAGACTGGAACGTCCAAGGTCCAAGGGGCAGTGATTCTAAACGTGAGTATGCAGCTCATTGAAGCTTCCTGGATCATCAGTCAGTGGAAGGGGAGGGTAATTATAAACGGATGTAAGATACAGAATGGTATACACATATATATATATATATATACACACACACGCATAATATACACATATTGATGGTATACTTCAACCCCTCCGGCTTTTCCCTCTGACTTCAGTCCTCTTAGAGCTACCGATTCCAAAAAGTCATAGCGGCTGAGAGGGAAATTGAAGACAGCCATCACTTTCCTGCTGGAGGAAAGAGCAATCAGCCAGTTTGTATCCTTTGGCATGGCTTTCAAATTCAATCTGATGCTCACCCCCACCCGTCACAAACCCCAATCTGTTGTACCCTGAAGCCAACCTAAACCGTGCCCCGACCCCAAGCCCAAACACCGCCCTGGTCCAAAACTGAAAATTCAGAAACACGCCCTGGCCCTAAACCCAAACCGAAACCTGACCTAAACCAGCTTACCCCAAGCTCGCCCTAAATCCGCGCTGCATCCCACATCGACCCTGAGCTGTGGGCCCTAAATGCAGAATTGAACCTGTTGTTTGGCGATGATCAACCAACTGTATATTTGCGGGTGTCTCAAAATGAGACCTTTTTGGAAATGAAGCCCAACCATTTTTGAGGGGGCACCCTGTTTTGAGACAAACTGACATGGAGTCCCCCCCCTTGTTTATGGATTGCTTCGAACTTTTGTCCCACTCTGAGCCTGCCTAATTCTACCCATCGGCAAGCTTGCTGTAGCACCACTCCAAGCCTACTCGATACCCTAGGCTCATTCAACACCTGAAAGCAGCCTCAACTCACGCTTCGGCATCTCTTATTCCATTCTCAAAAGACCCCCTGTCATTGTGCCATGTGTGCCATGGTCAAAAGCACAGCTTACTTGGGGCTAGTAGATAGGGTCATCAACGCTTCAACGTAAATTCAAGGCAATCATTTTCAGAACTCCTATTAAGTGACCCGTGACCATGCGTCAAAGGTGAGCCACATGATCGATGACTTCTACCCCGACGCGAAGACGTTCGACCCGAAGCGGTTTGTTGATGGCATCAAGGACCTTCCCTGCTAAGATGGCGAGCGTTGACAGAAGCAACTTTGGGACCAGGCTTAGGCAACGGCCAGCAGATTCTATCAGAGTAGCTTCCAGGTCTTGAGAGCATGCCAGATGTAGTCTTGAATGAAAGCTGAATATCATTTGTTGCCAACCTCACGTTCTTCAATGTTTCCCTGGTTTCTTTGAGTCACGCTTGATATTGCTGATGTGGTTGCTCGCCGTTGTTCGGGATGAGCAGCGTGTTTGTCACGCAAGCGTTCATTCGCTATGCATGTGACTGTGAAGCGTGGCAGGGCCGGGTAGGGCGGAAGCTGTGCTTAATTCTTGAGCACACTCTTTGCAGAAGGATTGAATGGCAAATTCAGGTTCCAGGTCAAACATGCTTGTCATAGCATACTTCTTGCATTGCTTACATCGTGTATATACGGGATATAGCAATGGACTCCAGTGTCGTTTTGTGCCGCCGTTCAAAGTGGCACCCGAAAGGGCTTTCCGTTTTGTCAACCCATAGATTGTACACACATATTAGGGTTTCTCACCATTGCAGACCCCTTTTTGGATGGTTCTAAAGGGATGCCTAAAGGAAATAAGCCATCAAAAGGGTTCCCAGTTTTGAGAAACACCCAGAAACACTGGCACCTGTTTTTCACCACCTTCCAAACGGCCAGGACGAATTCAACTACATCCCCTTCGGTGGGGGCCGACGGGTTTGCAAAGGCCAAGAGTTTGGCTACCTTCAGGTCCAATGTGCCGGGCGCCACAGTCCGATCTGAGCTGAGTTCTGGGTAATGTCCATAGCTGGTGGATTCGCGGCTCGGGAAGTTGACACCCCGGGTTTCTCTTGAAGCAGAATAAAAAGCCACCCTAGCTTCCAACCACCCATGAGCCAACATTACAGTTTCAGAGCCTAGCCCGGCACATGGTCCTTAGTTGCCTCACACTTCGTCACTAGTCACTACTAGGCTGCGCTCCCCTTGCCATGACGCTGACTCAGTATTGTGCGTGATCCATTTTCGGTGCTTCTCGAAATGGGAAAGCCGCATGTCATCGCGGGCTGGCCGTTTTTATGACACTCAAAAACTATCTTCACATGGTGAAAAGACCTTTGTTGCCCTAAACAGCATCCATGCAAGAAACGCAGGCCCCCAATTATTTGAGGAAGCACCTCTTTGTGTCAGAACAGTTTCGTTGATTAATCGGGTGCCAGCCGCAAATGCGATGTGGACCCGCCAAAGAAAAGGATACAGCCTGCTTGAATCGACCCAGGCCTGGGTTTCATGAGGGCAGAGGCATAGTATGGTGTGGTTGCGAATCCCGAAATCGCATGACGCCAAGGTGAGACGCGTGCATAGACATACACATGCATACACAGAATACATACTGTCATATATAATCAAAGGAAGTTTAGAAGGAACTTCTGTGTTACGGATACTAGTTGAAGGTAGCTTGCGCACAGATGAGAATAGATGCATGCGAGAAAACATGCGTGCGCGTGTGGCGGGGGAATAGAAATCGCGAAAAAGAGCAACCCTCTGCGGGTTTTGGCTTCTCCGGCTGGCTGAAAGCTACCCCGGTCGCGACGCCTGTCCGACGACGGGTTCGGAACGGTCTCGGAGCAGGGCCCACTGTCACGGCAACGCGGAGGTTTCGCAGGGTTTGAATTTCGTGGCAGGCGCAGCATTTTGGCAAGGTTGGGTACATATTTCGTGGCAGGCGCAGCACTTTCGCAAGGTCAAGTACAGATTTCGTAGCAGGCGCAGCATTTTCTTGCTTCTGGCACGGACGCATCGCAAATCCCATTGGCACGGGCGCGCAAGGCAGCGTGTGCAGATTTCGTGGCAGGGGCAGCCTTTTCGCAAGGTCAAGCACAGATTTCGTGGCAGGGTCAAGTACATATTTCGTGGCAGGGGCAGCATTTTCGCAAGGTCACGTACAGATTTCGTGGCAGGCGCATCAATGTGAGGTACAGATTTCGTGGCAGGCGCAATATTTTCGTGATCGAAGGTACGATTACATTTTTCCAGTTGCAGCTCGTTAAGTACAAAAGTAGTATTCGAAGTACACTTCTCCAGCTGCAGCTCGAAAATGGGAAAAGTCAAGTACAAAAGTAGTTTTCGAAGTAGATATTTTGATGAAGCGAGCTAGATAGTATAGAGACGGATCAGGGGTATGGGGGGAACTAAAATCCAGGTTTGCTCGCGTCTCAGCCCGCTCGCTCGAACAACTCGATGACCCTTGCGACCGAGGTTGGACGCGAATTCGGGCACGCGACAGACACAGAGAGAGAGAGAGAGACAAAAAGAAAAAACAGAGAGGAAAAAAGTGAAAAAGAGTTGACCAAGTTCGCCTTGGCCAGCCAGCGTGACTGAGTTCCGCTCCGTGTCGACCAGCTTTAGTTTTGGAAGGGCTTTGGCTCAATCGTTTCGAGCGACGCTTGCGTTTTCCAACACGCGAGTTCGGCGCCGCCCTCGGCAAGAGACCTTGACAGACAGCGGGGCGCTCAGATCGCTCGTCGTGTCGAAAACTTCAGTCGAGCAACGCTTGCTTGCTAACCTGTCCGCGAGGTCTAGTTCGGGCACAAGATCAACGCCTAGCCCCGCGCTCAGCCCAACTTGCAAAAAGGGAAGACTTCTGCGAGTTGGCCGCCAAGGCCTTGGAACGCCCAAGGCTGCGGAGGCCAGCTTGTCACAGCGACCCTGCCCCAGGAGCACCGCGCAATAAAGAGCCACTGCTGGCACCGGCTCAGCCTAGCAGTCTAGCAATAGCCCTCCTGTCTCCAAACCGACTTGCCTCAAGGCAGGGTCGAGCCGCTAGCTTTTTTTGGCAAGGGAGAAGAACGCCAGGATGTCGCGCTGGGCCGACCTGTCAGCCGAGGAGGAGGAGGTCAACCCAGAATGTGCTGGAGCGTAGAGGCTTGGGCCCAGCGCGAGACCGACCAAGTCAGCCACGCCAAAGCCAGGACTACCTGGCCCGGAACTGCAAGCTGACCCTAGCGACCCCCGTCACGGCCTGAGAGGGCCACTAAAATCGTGGCGCCTTGGCGCTCAAGGCGGGCTGGGTCCACGTGGACAAGGCTGGCAGGGGAGCACGAGGCGCCTCTGCTAGATAGTCAGCCAGATAGATAGCTACATAATTAGATAGCTAGATAGATTGCTAGACAGACATAGTGCCAGATAGATAGATGGATAGATGGCAAGATAGCTAGATAGATAGAGAGAGAGATAGAGAGATAGAGAGATAGAGAGATAGATAGAGATAGAGAGAGAGATAAATAAATAGATAGTAAGGATGGAAGGACAGATAGATAGTATATAGCTACCTAGATAAATAGACAGACAGATAGGTACATAAATAGATACATAGATAGATAGATAGATAGATAGAGAGATAGAAAGATTGATTGATCGACAGGTTGATAGATAAGGAAGGAAGGAAGGAAAGAAGAACGAAAGAAAGAAAGAAAGAAAGAAAGAAAGAAAGAAAGAAATAAAGAAAGAAAGAACGAAATAAGGAAGGACAGACAGACAGACAGACAGATAGATAGATAGAGAGGTAGTAGTGAGATGGATAGATAACTAGCTTGCTAGCTAGCTAGATAGACGGACAGATAGATAGGTAGATAGATAGATTGATAGATTGATTAGATAGATAGAAAGATAGATAGGTAGGTAGGTAGATAGATAGATAGATTAGCTAGATAGATAGATAGATTAGCCAGATAGATAGATAGATAGAAAGATAGATAGATAGACAGATGGACAGACAGACAGACAGACAGACAGATAGATAGATAGATGATAGATAGATAGAGAGATAGATAGATGGATGGATAGATAACTGGATAGGTAGATGGATAGATATATAGAGAAGAGAACAGCGCAACAAACGCAGCAAAAGAAAGACCGACAGAAAAGACAGAAAATCAAGAACGAAAGGAAAGAAAAAAAGAAGGAAAGAAAGAAAGACAAAACGGAAGAAAGAAAGAAAGAAAGAAATAAAGCAATAAAGAAAGAAAGAAAAACGGAAGAAAGAAAGAAAGAAAGAACGAAAGAAAGAAAGAAATAAAGAAATAAAGAAAGAAAGAAAAGAACAAGACAGAAAGAACGAAAGAAAGAAAGAAAGGAAGAACGAAATAAATAAAGAAAGCAATAAAGAAAAAAACAAGAAAGAAATAAATCAATAAAGAAAAACGAAAGAACGAAAGAATGGCAATGGGGATAGGCTCTTTATTTTTTTCAGCATCAGTGTGCCTTCATAAGAAGCATCAGTGTGCCGCAGTCTTGTGCAACAGGCCCTGCCAGCGGGGCCCGCCGCCACCTGCCAGCGGGGCCCGCCGCTATGCACATAAGTAAGCTTGCCGCTACAGGCGGCTCTTAGGTAATACTGATAGATAACTGAATAATAGCTAATAATGATAGGTCACTGAATAATAACTAAGCGCCTGTGTGCTGCAGCTCCCGGGCATTGTGCCCTGCCAGCAAGGCCACCGCCGTGCGCTTGCAGCAACGAGCCCAGCGCCAACATGCGTGCCGCTTCAGGCCGCAGTGTTTGGCGCCGCCACGCAGCGATGGCATTGGAAAAAAAGGAGCGCGAGGGAAGCACAGGGGTCAGAAACAGGGAGTGAGCTGGCTGCCAACAACAAACAAAGGGATCAGAAACAGGGGCGCAAAGGAGACAGAAAAGAAAGAAGTTTGAGCTGTTTGCCAACAAACACAACACAAAGTCGTTCCTATAGTTGTATACTGTTTTGAAACTTCCGCCTCCCGGCTTCGCCGGCTATACTGGTATATATATATATATATACACACACTCGCAGACACACTTAAAATAATCAAAGGAAGTTTAGAAGGAACTTCCGTGTTAGGGCAACTAAGTGAAAGCTAGCTCTCTGAGACAGATGACAAGAGAAGGAATAAGCCCGCAATGCAAAAAGCATGGCCTTGTGCGTGAATTGGCGTCTCTGGAGAGCTGAAAGCTAGCCTGTTCGCGGCGCCTGGCCGGACCACGTTCGGACCACTCTCGGAGCGGGCCCATTGGCACGGCAACGCGAAGGTTTCGCAGGCTTTGAACTCCGTGGCAGGCGCAGTGCTTTTGCAAGGTCAGGTACAGATTTCGTGGCAGGCGCAGCACTTTCACAAGGTGATGTATAGATTTCGTGGCAGGCGCCGCGCTTTCGCAAGGTCATGTGGCAGGCGCAGCGTTTTCGCAAGGTCCAGTGCAGATTTCGTGGCAGGCGCAGCAAGGTCAAGTGCAGATATCGTGGCAGGGGCAGCACTTTTGCAAGGTTGATTAGGCAGCACTTTTGCAAGGTCCAGTACAGATTTCGTGGCAGGGGCAGCAATTTCGCAAGGTCAAGTGCATATTTCGTGGCAGGCACAACACTTTCGCAAGGCCAAGTGCAGATTTCGTGGCAGGGGCAGCACTTTTGCAAGGTCGAGTAGGCAGCACTTTCGCAAGGTCCAGTACAGATTTCGTGGCAGGGGCAGCACTTTCGCAAGGTCAAGTAAAGATTTCGTGGCCGGGGCAATACTTTTGCAAGGTTAGGAGATAAATCGAGAGATAGGTAGATAGATGGAGAGATGGATATATAGATAGATAGATAGATAGATAGATGGATAAACAATTTAGATCATATAGGGATAGATAGATAGATATGTAGACAGAGAGATAGATAGATAAGTAAACAGATACAAAAATGGATGAGAAGGGAACAAGAGAGAGAGAGAGAGACAGCTAGATAACAAGATAGAGAGATAGATAGATCGATAGGTAGATAAGCAGGTAGATTGAGAACAGATAGATAGATAAGTAGAAACAAATATAGATAAAGAGATTAGTAGATAGATATATAGGTGAAAAGACAAAGAGAGAGAGAGAGAGATAGAGAGAGAGAGAGAGGTCTAGATAGATAGAAGATAGATCGGTTTGATAGATAGAGAGATTAGACAGAGAAAATCCAGAAAACAGATAGACAGATAGATAGAGAGATAGATAGATAGATAGATAGATAAATAGACAGATACATAGATAGTTAGAGAAGAGACAAAAGAAAAGAACGGCGTAATAACAAGGAAAGAAAGAAAGGAGTGGGGAAGGAAAGAAAGACAGAATGACAGAATGGAGATGAAAAAAGAAACAATTAAAAAGGAGAAGAAGAGAACAATAATCAAGAAAAGAAAGAGAAAGATAACTATAGTTATATATTTTTGAAACTTCCGCCCACCGGCTTCGCCGGCTCTACTGGTACATGTATTACATGTAATGCATACAACACACGCAATGCATACACACTATAAAATAGATATGTACACATATATACATATATACCTATGTATGTATTTTTCTATATTTTTACATGCACGTGCATTTTTCCACACGTCCTATGTTCTGTGACTCTTGCAGGCATGTACGGTGATTCAAGAGGTCCAGCGAAACAGGGCACATGTTTGAAGGGTCCCAAGAACTGAATCAGCGCATGCTGGGAAAACATACTGTGCATGGACGAATCCTGCACCACATTGAAACCGTGGGACACCGTGGTTGGTTGGTATTTACAGGGAAATCATTCGAGGGATTCTTGCTAAGCAGTCGTATTTGGCGACGTTGTTGCGCGCGGTTTCCGCAATAAGAACGAGAAAGCTCAAAAGGCGAGAAAAAAAACTCAAGATTCTTAGGTGCAAGATTTCGTCCATCCACAGTATTAGCATGCAGGTTCCCAGAACAGCACCGCTGTCATCCTTGACATTTGCGGCTAGTTTGATTGCTTGGTGGCAGGCGTATTGGGTCAGAACGCAGCATGTTCGGATTGAACTGGGATGTGAGATGGCACGTGGGAGCAACCATTTGCTGGCATGGCGGCATCACCAAGTACAAGACATCACCAATCATGACATAACTTTGATTTTTTAATTCCCCACATCTTTGTGTGGGGTTCTTACTTTTACCGCTCCACGCCCGCCGCCCGCCGTCCGCCGTCCGGCCCCGCCGTCCGCCGCCCGCCCCGCCGCCCCCGCCGCCCACTCACTCACACTCACTGTCTCACACTCACTCACACACACTCACTCACACACACTCACTCACACACACTCACTCACTCACACTCACTCACACTCACTCACTCACTCACCCGCACAAAGTGACTCACTCACACACACTCACTCACACACACTCACTCACACACACTCAGTCACACACACTCACTCACTCACTCACTCACTCACACTCACTCACACACACACTGGCTCACACACACTCACTCACACACACTCACTCACACACACTCACTCACACACACTCACTCACTCACACTCACTCACACTCACTCACTCACTCACAGGGGCAGCATTTGGGAGCTGTTTAAAGGGCTGGGGTGTTGTCGCGCGCGCGGCTCGGGGCTCGCGAAATCGTGGCAGGCGCAGCACTTTGGAGATGCCGTTGCCGAAGTCGTGGCAGGCGCAGCATTCTGTGCATCTGAGCGTGTGTTTGCGTGGCAGGGGCAGCATTTGGCAGCTGTCTAAAGGGCTGGGATGTTGTCGCGCGCGCGGCTCGGGGCTCGCGTAATCGTGGCAGGCGCAGCACTTTGGAGATGCCATTGCCAAAGTCGTGGCAGGCGCAGCATTCTGTGCATCTGAAAATCGTGGCAGGCGCAGCACTTTGGAGATGCCATTGCCGAAGTCGTGGCAGGCGCAGCATTCTGTGCATCTGAGTGTGTGTTTGCGTGGCAGGGGCAGCATTTGGCAGCTGTCTAAAGGGCTGGGATGTTGTCGCGCGCGCGGCTCGGGGCTCGCGAAATCGTGGCAGGCGCAGCACTTTGGAGATGCCATTGCCGAAGTCGTGGCAGGCGCAGCATTCTGTGCATCTGAGTGTGTGTTTGCGTGGCAGGGGCAGCATTTGGCAGCTGTCTAAAGGGCTGGGATGTTGTCGCGCGCGCGGCTCGGGGCTCGCGAAATCGTGGCAGGCGCAGCACTTTGGAGATGCCATTGCCGAAGTCGTGGCAGGCGCAGCATTCTGTGCATCTGAGTGTGTGTTTGCGTGGCAGGGGCAGCATTTGGCAGCTGTCTAAAGGGCTGGGATGTTGTCGCGTGCGCGGCTCGGGGCTCGCGAAATCGTGGCAGGCGCAGCACTTTGGAGATGCCATTGCCGAAGTCGTGGCAGGCGCAGCATTCTGTGCATCTGAGTGTGTGTTTGCGTGGCAGGGGCAGCATTTGGCAGCTGTCTAAAGGGCTGGGATGTTGTCGCGCGCGCGGCTCGGGGCTCGCGAAATCGTGGCAGGCGCAGCACTTTGGAGATGCCATTGCCGAAGTCGTGGCAGGCGCAGCATTCTGTGCATCTGAGTGTGTGTTTGCGTGGCAGGGGCAGCATTTGGCAGCTGTCTAAAGGGCTGGGATGTTGTCGCGCGCGCGGCTCGGGGCGCGAAATCGTGGCAGGCAGCACTCGCCGGGTGGCTTCTGTGCATCTGAGTGTGTGTTTGCGTGGCAGGGGCAGCATTTGGCAGCTGTCTAAAGGGCTGGGATGCGCGCGCGCGGCTCGGGGCTCGCGAAATCGTGGCAGGCGCAGCACTTTGGAGATGCCATTGCCGAAGTCGTGGCAGGCGCAGCATTCTGTGCATCTGAGTGTGTGTTTGCGTGGCAGGGGCAGCATTTGGCAGCTGTCTAAAGGGCTGGGATGTTGTCGCGCGCGCGGCTCGGGGCGCGCGAAATCGTGGCAGGCGCAGCACTTTGGAGATGCCGTTGCCGAAGTCGTGGCAGGCGCAGCATTCTGTGCATCTGAGTGTGTGTTTGCTTGGCAGGGGCAGCGTTTGGCAGCTGTCTAAATGGCAGCATTTGCAGCCGTGCCAGAACACATCATCGAGCCGCACTTCAGGACACCCCAATCGAAAGATTCGGACGCGTGGATGATTTGGAAGTTGCTTGCATCTGCGGTCGCGGGAGCGACCTATTTACGCTTGTAGAACCAGCTGCAATGCAAAGAAGCCCGCAGAAACGGGGTTCCGCTCTTGGAAGGCTTTCGTCTTGAAGTACTTAGCGCCTTACAGCGCAGGATGCATGGGGCCAGGCTGGCAGATACATGCTGCGCATGACGCGATGGCACTTCAAGCCATATGTTAAACATATGCCGCTGACATATGCCATTGGCGATGCCAATGCGACCCCTCGATCTGCCAGAGTGAAAAACCAAGTGCTGAGAGTTTTCGACATAGCTGACTGCGTGAAGGTTTTGCATGTGAGTGAGGGTCTTTGCATGTCTCGGATTTGGGATTATTCGCTGCTCGGCAGATGCAAGTGTCGCATACTTCAATAAGCATAGACTTGTGGGGTTATCCGGCCCTTTAATTTTGTGGTATCCCCTACACATGTTTGGTGGGCATCAATGCTCATCCAAATGATATGGGACTAATTGAAACTCATACCTGCATGGTTTGTGTGAGTGCAGCCAGCCTGGCATGGCCACAGCATGCAGCCTTGATTGTTGGTAACAAACTCGACTTGGCTGCGCATCAATTTGCTGTATCTTTTTCAGGGTATCCAAAATAACATCCAAAGGAACAACGGTGCTCTCGTGAAACCACAAAAGGGGTCCCAACTGCTTGACGGCGATTTCACATGCCGTTGCAGTGGCCGTTGCCCAGACGTTCGCTCGGCCGAGGCGATCTCGCACATGTCTCCTGAACGCATTAGTGTCGGGTGAAGCCGCGTCCTGCGGAGAGAAGCTGCGGGAAATGACCGTCTTCTGCTCCTGGCTGGTCAGCCAAAGCCCGCAAAGAACGTCTAAGCGACGCGCTTACTGTGATGCCTAGTTGTTCATGGTTTAGAAGGGCTGGATTTTGTCAGACATGCATACTGCGAGGCCCAACTGTTTGAAGGGTTGGTCCTTTGTGTTTGATTTGGTTCTTGAAATCTGGCACAGCTCTGCATTCAAACAGCAAAGCTCACGTCCTTGTTCACAATGTTGTCGACAGGGTCCATTGCCTCATGCAATACCTTTTGTCACCTGTTCCAAACTACAACTTACTTGATAGAGTCATGTTGGTCATATTCGTCATGTTGGTCCCCTTCAGGGGTGGTACGCATCAACAACGATGCTGTAGCCGGGCGGTTTTGTGAATAATGGACCCCATTTTGGACCCCCGTGCTGGACACCTTTTTCGACTCCTCAACAGAGGCACGAAATGAGAGCAGGGGTGTACAATGAAAGACAAGTTCCCATGGTTGTTCCCTTTGTGGGTACATGGGAATATATAATGTACGCACCTTGTTCCCAGGAAATAGAGATCAAGTATGGCTTTCCTGTACAACCACCACAAAAGCAGTGCCAACTCAAGAAGATGCCCACGTGGCTGGTTTGAGAATTTTTACGGTGAGCTCACCTTGGGGCAAAACGTGCTCAGGCCCCAAAGGAATTTTGGTCAGCATCCACGAGTATGGATGTCATACTCGAGGGGGCAAACGGGAAACCACACTCGCAGGCGCAGGACATCCATTTGCATCGTGCAGAGCCCTTTTTGTGCAGTGTGAATCAACCAGGAGGCTGGGCTCTGTAGTCTGTACGCAAGTCATCACCTTCATGAACTCGCTGCATGTCTGGGCCTGGGCCTTTGCACCAACAGAACAGGTACGTAAATGTTGGATTTGGTGCGGTTTGTTCGGTGTGTTGTTGGGTTTGGTTCTGCTTGCGGTTGTTTTGTTTTTCTGCTTGCGGTATTTTCTCGTTTTTTTGGTTTGTTTGTTTGTTTATTTGTTTGTTTGTTTGTTTGTTTGTTTGTTTGTTTGTTTGTTTATTGTTACATACAAAACATATTTTCTTGTTTTCTTTTTGTTTGGTGATTTGCTATTACTGTACTCCCTTATGTAGCGTTTTGTTTCGTTTGTGTTTGTTTGTTTGATTGCTAGTTTGCCTGTTTGCTTGTTTGCTTGTTTGTCTCTTTGTTTGTCTGTCTTTCTGTCTGCCTGTCTGTCTGTTTGTTTGTGAGATTGTGTGTTGTTTGCAAGAGGCAACGGTTTAAAATAGGTTTCTATTTGTTGCAGATTGGTTCTCGGTTTTACAAGAACCTTGGCGTTTGTTTTCTGACTTCTAGTTTGTGTGTGTGTATGGGGTGGTTTGCCGGCTTCCCAGAACCAAATGGATCACAAAGAGAGGATCGTTGCACCAATCTTCTATGGCTATGGAAATCAGAGCAGTGACCTTGAAATGGAGGCCCAGAGGCCCCGGTGTCGGCTCAGGTTGCGCCACTACAACATCGTGACTTTGAAGCACCGATTCGACTCACTTAGATTCGGGCTTGACATCCAAGTTGCTGAAACCGATGGCAGCCTGTGTTCCAGTCAGGCATTGTCTCCAAAAGGACCAATAAGGTATGCATAACTTCGTGGCTTGAGCAACATCCCCACTAACTTTGAGTGCCGTTCCTCCAGTGCTTCGTGGCTGCGACGTCTGTGTTTCGCAGGACTGGAGGACTGGGTGAAAATCGAAGCAAAACCAGTGAGCCAGCTGGCTGTTGTGTCTATCATTGAGTGGCAACTTATCCGTTTGGATGTCTTGGTGGTGATGGTCGGGCCGTACTTTTGTGACGCGCAGAGTGGGTGATGCTTGTCACATGTTACTAGTTTGCAAAGCAGACCATCATTATGTGTGTTTCCGGCTATCTTGGAGTTCCCATCTCTGTTCTGCCAGCCTTGTTGCCATTGCGAGACACATTCCTGTTTCACCATGCAAAGGTTGTGCTCATTCGAGCGCTTGTCGATCGAAACAAACGCAAGGTCTCTTGGGAGAGAACAGCACCGAAACACCTCCGAATAAATCAGTGATGTGATGCTTCCCACCAGATCAGTATACTGAGTTTATCCACTTCTGAGGGATCCCCTGATTGCTCATGACACTCGGGTCATTCTGTTCAGTTTGACATGTAGAGCACGGCACGTTGCAGGTGCTGATTGGCATCCCCGGAAGAAGACGGTTCTAGGGCGCTCTCAAGTTGCCAGCTGTCCAAGTTTCCTCCTTCAAGCCAGGACTCAAGTATGTCCACAATTTGAATACATGAGCGAATCAAAGGCGGGAACCCCTTTTCATCCAGGGTTGGTCAAAATGCATTTAAACAACCAGACCCTAGCCGCCTTTAAATAGCAAATTGTTTAAGCACTATATCGGTTCAAACACGCTCAATACGGGGCTTGGAGCAAGCCTGCTTTCACTCTTCCCGGCGGGTCCCAACGCGCCGAGGAGACCATCGATGGGGTGCCACCGCCCACCATCGCGCAGGATGGCATGGTCATTGCGCCTGAGCAGCCCTGCCGAGTGAGATATACGCGCAAGGCCTAACGGCCGAACCTCATGGATAGCACGTCAGTCAAGGGAAGCCACTACCCGAATCGTAGCCCTATTCAGGTGGTTGAGGCAAAGTAGTCATTGGGATGCGTGCCTGGCCTTGCGCAGTTCTGGGGCAATTTTTTAGAATGCGGGTCATCTCTGGCAGCTCCAAACCAGAGCTGCCGTGAATTTCGAGGGGTTCCTATCTCTTGGAACCTGAAGGAAAAGGAAGCTGCGCGCCTCACTAGGCACTTGTTTTCCAGGCGCAACCTCAACCTCCGCTGTAAAAAAAATGCAAATCCGCCAGCAACTGCAGGCGTGTCTTCAGCACAGACGATGCTGGATTCTGCCTGCCCGGAGTAGTGGACCCAGAGCGAAGAGGATCTTTGGGTGCCATGCGGGCAACGATCTCTCGGATAGCCTGATGTGTCAAGGCGCTCGCGGGTCAGGACGATGTATTGATGTATTCATTTCACTTGTTTTACAGCGACAAAGGGAGGCAAGCGACCGACAAATCTGAAAGATCAACTTTGCCCACAAACCCATGGTAGTTGCTTTGTGCAGATCAGCAAGTGGAGAACAGAAAGTGTTGTTTTCTTCCTACTCACAGTTGCCATCAGGCTTCTGGAGGTGCAGCTGGCTCCCAGCACATAGCTTTGTTGGATTCCCTTTGAGGCTCAGCTCGACAATTGTGTAACTGTATATCTATGTAAATCTGATCTTTCTCGAGCTTGCACAGGTATTTTGTGATGATATGGTTCTAGTGCCCGTTGACAGTGGCAAGGGGTTGCTGGGAGAGGTTTGAACACGTGCTCACAACCAGTACTATGCCCAAATGCCCGCATGACTCCGGTGGCGAATCAAGACTGCTCAGCAGCTAGCAAATTTTCGAGCATTCGTCAGGCTGCCAAGAATCGCAGAGGGATTGCTGAATGGGAAGAAACGGGCCTGCTGCGTGCTTGCGAAGGCTTTGGGAGAGCCCAGCTTTTACCTTTCAGCCGGTTGCGGACGATTTGCCAGTCAAGCGTGTTGGCAGAATGCTTGTGTGTGTGTATGTTTGTGTGCGTGAGAGAGAGAGAGAGCGCGAGAGAGAGAGAGAGAGAGAGAGTGTGTGCGTGCGCTCGCGAGGCGCGTGCGTGCCTGCCTGCGTGCGCATGCGTCATGCCTGCGTCAGTGTGCGTGTTTGTGTTTGTTTGTTTGTTTGTTTGTTGGTTGGTTTCTTTCTTTCTTTCTTTCTTTCTTTCTTGCTTTCTTTCTTTTGCTTGCTTGCTTGCTTGCTTGCTTGCTTGCTTGCTTGCTTGCTTGCTTGCTTGCTTGCTTGCTTGCTTGCTTGTTTTTTTGTTTGCTTGCTTGCTTGCTTGCTTGCTTGCTTGCTTGCTTTCTTCATCTATTTATTTGTTTAAATGGTTTCTTTGCTCGTGTTTGTGTTTGTGTTAGTTTTTTCGTGGTTGTTTGTGTGTGCGTGTGTGTTTGTGTTTGCGCGCGCGCGCGCGCGCGGGTGTGTGTGTGTGTGTGTGTGTGTGTGTGTGTGTGTGTGTGTGTGTGTCTGTGAACCTTCGCTCAGCGGGAGGGAGGTGTGAATTGGAATAAACTTATGTTTGCTGCTGGTTATTGTTGGATTGCTGCTTGAGACTGGTTGCATAGTGAGCCTGCACATTGAGTATTCTAGTTGATGGTTGTTTCAGATTTGTTTAGCTTTCGACCTACTTTGCAGGTAAGGTTCGTGAAGTGAGGAACAATCAGAAGCTTGGCATCTGAAGGTTAGTGGGAGGACAGCTGCGACAATAAATAGGTGTGGCCTCACTTTCAATTATAATCATAGTTCTGAGTAGACTCCTGCAGTGCCAGGTTCGATTCTGACTCATGTGATGATATCGAATCCATTTGACCTCAAGTTTAGCGTCTTTGCCATCCTTGGATGATGAAGAGCGGGAATGCCAAGGGTTCATCATAGTGAATGTTGGACAGGGCCTAGTCACCATACCGCTCAACATCCGTTAATGAAACTGCGCGCAGGACTTGATGGTTCGGTGATAGTTTCACTGAAGGGCTACAAGCGACAACACGCAGGAACGGCCTTTTACTTGTATCTCATGTGTGGATTCTGTGTAGGAAATCATGCAGAACATGGGATATGCTGATACCTACCAACAGTTCGAAGATCACTATGGAAGATTGGTTGGCCAGGTGATGTCAACAAGCAAACGAGATGAGCTCAACACATGTTGCTCTGATGACCAACATTCCCGGAGGCTTGGAACAGCTTCAACCCCATGAGGCATCGCTTCCAGTGGTTCAATTGGAAATTGGGATGCGAGGAGCAAGCATGCGAACCCGGCTGGCTGGCAAATGTTTCTGTGTGCTTCTGGCCCAAGACGTTGCCACTGCAGCAACCGAGACCAGAGATGGGCAGAACGATCTTGGGGCCCTCCGCATTTTGGTGGGCTTCATGCTGGGTTTCTTCGGACCAAAATCAACAAATCACAACGGGACATACCACATTGCCATACCCGAACGCACTACACTACAGCCGTCAGCAGGCGAAAGAAGCAAACTGTTCGATCTCTTTGCATTGTTTCACTTTCCAGCAGGCCACGCTTGATTTAAGCAGAGAATGCCCGCCTGGAATTTCAGCTTCAACAGCTTCCTGAGCAACGTGACAATTAATGGGAATCCCTCCTCTTCACCTACTGGGTTGAACAACACAGTAATGCAGGGCTACCAAAATGCGTGATTGGTCGTATGGAGGTATTTTTTCTCCAATGCTTTGTCTAATTTTTTGTGCAGCATTGTGAAGGCATGTGCAACACGATACACACACACACACACTAGTTTTAGTAGAGAGAAGTGACAAGCACAACATGTCCTGATTCGGCAGTCAGCTGCGCTTACGCCGCTTGGCAAGAAATGGCTGCTTTATACGTTGTATTTTGCTTAGTGATTGCGGAGTGTTTGCTGATTTGCACAGTGCTCTTTGTGCGAGGAGTTTGACATCAAGGTGTATTTTCTCCTTTCCCGTTCTGGCTTGTGCGCCTGTCGTCTTCTGCTTGTTGGAGGGTTTCACTCTGTAAAGAAGGGAAGCGGCTTCTGTCATGCGTGCACATCGACCTAGCGGGTTCGCGGCAAGCAGAATTCAAGTTTCCTGTCTGCTGGTTGTGTGGTGTGCTTTTGGAAGCCTGCCTCGCTTCCATTTGTAATTTCCCCGTTCTTGAGGCAGCTTGATGTAGCAAATGTCATGTCACCATCCTTCCGTCCTTGGGCTGGAGACTGAAAAAGAATGCGTTGCAACCCCTTTAGTTGGTTGTCAAAGTGGAATCCAATAGGGGACCAAACTGTTTTCTGAGGTTCCCTATCAGCAACGCAGCGGACGTGAGTGTGCATATGTTTGAGTTTACATTGTTCACCTGGGTTAAAGTGACACCAACAGAAGCACCACCATTTCGAGGGTCTCCCTATTTTTGACACATACCCATTTTTTTGCTTAATCAAATCACGTTCTTAATTTAGCGAGCTCCCAGGAGCGAATGTTCCTCTCGCGGCAGCTGCTGGGCCCGCCCAAAGCGCCCAGGAGCAGCGATTGCGATTTGGGCGGGTTGGCGGTTTTTCGAGGAACGGTGTGGGGCGGTGTTGGTGTTGTTTTTTCTATTGCTCCCCTTTTGGATGAATACTTGGCATGTAGCAAGGTGAACCATACTTGGTTCGTCTGAAAGGACCCGGTCCACAGGTGATAAGTGAGCTTCAGGGCCTGTTCCCTCTATCCAGTTGTTGTCTTGATCTGGCCAAATGAGCAGCGCCCAAAACCTCCCTTGGCCATGTCGGTTGCTGGTGCTACTGCCTGGTTTGATTGGGGTTACAGTAAGATCTTGGTTTTTGGGTTCACTCGCAGGTCTGCCAGGAAATGTTCGCACAGAGTTGATCACAGAGGTTCTGAGAGCGAGCAAACGACATCTCAAGAGTGAGCCGTGAGCCGGACGAAGCTGCGTTCGTGGCGTCAAAGTCATGTCGGTGGAACATAGGGAGCAGCCATGTGAGTTTTTGTGGAGCCTTGTTGGCCAAGACGATGTTCTTTGCCCAAAGGTGCCACTAGTGACAAAGCTTTTTAGTCATGATTCCAATTCTGTCGATGTTTCTTGTCATGCGATGGCTATATAGTATATAGGTGCCCAGCGCTTTCCATTTCATCGAGGCTAGTCACAGGTGCATGTCTAGGCGCTGACATGACCTCACTTGTATTTGATTGTTCTGATGGTTGCGTTGGACTATGGACTGTTTCCCTGGCAAGCAAGGCTGCGTAGGGCTGTCACCAGAGCCCTGCCCGGGTCAGAGGACTCAGAGGACTGAGGCGCCCCTTGGCGCACAGAAAGCACCAAGGAGTTCTGGAGCAAGACCCGTGTTGGCCATTCAATAAAGTTTGACTTCCTGGATGGGTTTTGAGTGCGGCTTACAGTATCTTGTCTCGAAAGGGGGCGGGCGGCCCCAATAGGACACACCCACCCCCAGACCACACCCATCTCTGAACCAAAAGCCACTGGCCCTCAAGTGATGTGTGCCGCAGGAACGTTTTCTTTCCATGGTTCAACTTCGTGATGGCCAAGGCTGCAGCAGGGCTGGGGCGGGGTGGAGGGGTTGTAGATTGGGGAGTGTCAAAACCAGTTGTACCCTTTCTTGGGCTCACTTTGAGAGGAAGAAACGCTTGCCTTTCGTCCTCACTTTGACACAGGCAGTGGTCAGCGTTCTTGGGGTGAGTTTGATCCTCCACGCGCTTTGAATGTGATCCTCCACGCGAGTTGCAAAGGCACAAGCTAGAGATTCATATGAACGCACCTCTTGTCCATGACAAGTCGCGAGTGGGGAACGGTGATGAAGTTGGGGTGAGTTCAATGCCAAGCACCGCAGCAAATGCGAGAAGGTTACGATATGTCCATGTCCCCCCAGGTTTCAATCAAACATGCCCGGCTGTTGTAGATTCGCAGGCTGTGCGCTTCGTATCATTCTAAGCCATTTGTTGCTTAAGCCAGTGGGCTGGGAAAGTTTACTCCCGCTACATAGTGGCTGATTTATATTTGTGTAGACATCTTGATGTCCACGTGATTTCTACTAGACTCTGGTGAAATCGTGGCCGGGACTCTGCGTCAAGGTGTCAGAATCAATTCTGCCCCGACAGTTATTGATGGATACAAACGGATGCTGGTGGATGCCAGGATGATGGGAATCGGCTTGGATGCAGGCAGAACGCCAGCAGGTAGATACCCCCGTTTTTTTTTTTTTTTTTTATGATGTACAGACATGTATGCCTTTTGCAATTCTCACATCTGATTACATATGTATACATATGTCCTAAGTAGCACAAGCATATGTAATGTCAAACGCCGCTTCAACCCACGCACGGCGTGGACGATCACTTGCTTGGGTCGAATCAGGGGTCATGGCAGGTTTCTCGCGAGAAGCAGGTGAGTAAGACTGGCTTTCTTGCTTTATCAAGCTATGTTCATGTGGGCAGTATTTGCGTCACTCAACACCAAACAGCTGAACCCAATTGAAAGAAGCCTTTAGTCCGAACTGGACCACCTTGATAACATTTGCAGGCTACCATAAATGCGGCTCTGTGTCGCTTCTACGAGTCGATGCCCCATTGTCCCCCCAAAGGGGTGTTCTTCATTGCGGCATGTGTCGGCTGTAGCCATGACTGTCAAAACCCAATGTTGTTTTCTTTTAAAGGAGTGGACACTTTGCTTTTGGGGACTGGTGGGATCCTTCTCCAAGTTTTCACGGCATTTGAAGAGCCCTTGGTGCTCCCAAGTCCTGCGCCAGACGGGCACTTACCTGGAACCAAACCGCGCTGCCTTCCGAGTGCCGGCGCAAAGCTTGGAAGTGGATGGGGAGAGCGAGTGGGCTTGGTTGTGTTGTTGCAGGTAGGAGCCCTGCCAGTGAGTTGGTTGCCCGTGTTTTTTCCTTAGCGAGCGGGGGGATCCATGCACAGCTGCCTGTCTGGGCCGGGATTTTCAAGGGAGCCTTTGGCGAATTCGGGGTCTTGCCAGGGTATGACTGGGGAGAGTTGACATGAAGCTCCTAGGATGTACCTTCCTGAGGCCTCACACATTGCCCAGAGTTCCCTCAAGGACCAAGGTTTGAGGGTCAGGCTGTTGGGGAAGTGCTGAAAGGTGATCCAGAGATTTCCACTCGCGATTCGAATCCCAACATGAGATTCACACAATCCCATTGGGAAATCAAAATCAGTTTGGGACTTCGGCACGAATCCATTTTGGACTCCAGTGCTTCTTGTCCAACCCAAGTGCAAGCGGAGAAAGCCAGAGTATGGAATCGGGAAATCCAGCTCGCCGCACTTAGATCTTTGTGAGTGGTCATGTGAGTGGCCCCAGGAATCCCCTTCAAAGTGATGGAGTCATGGGAATGGCCTTTGGACAGAGATCGGTGCTTCTCCACCATGTCGTCTTGAAAATGGGCGGGACGGCAGGGCGTCGATTCACCTAAGGTTGTCCATAACCACGGGTGCCGAATTGGGAAACAAAGTCTGACCCAGGCGTGCCTGGCCATCCCCTGAACCCCTCTGAGCAGCAGCTAGCTGGTTGAGGTGCACCATTGTTGTAAATTTGAGGTGCACCTCACTAAGCCGGAGATCCGGAACTATTTGCGTGAGGCGAGTGGCTGAGTGGATGGGTGGAACAATGGGAGGGTGTGGGATGCGGGCTTGGGCCATGCTCCAACAGACTTAGTCACAGATATATGTAGCTATGTGCATATGATGAGCTAAATGGCAGGCATACCTTGGGTTTACCTTTCAATCAATCCGGCAAGTACCAAGTTCAACAACCAACACACCCATTCCTTGTTGATGTGCGGTTGCAGATTTCTCACACCAGGTTTCTATTCGTTACATGTCCCCATGCACCACTCTTGGTCACTATCCAACGCCAAGGATTGTTTGGACTCTCTTTTTGATTGTTTTGAAAGCGGGCCAAGGAAAGGTTCGCCCACATCCGACCACCCCTATATTGTTTGATCCTAGACTCTGCATACCTCACGAGGGTGCTTGCGCATGATGTTTACACTTTGCTGCATGTATGTTGCACAGCTCTAGGGATACTGTTGTCAACGGCATGTGCTGATTGTGATGTCCGCTATTTGTGGGCAATGATTGTTCGTTATGTGGGCTTTAGTAGATATGCATAGACATGACAACCACAGCCTCCACTTTCTCCCGTTTAGTGTGTTGCAATCTGCTTTACGCAGCGTTGAACAAGCTCCTGCAAAGCAATTACTAGTGTTGGATTCCTTGCTGTACAGGTGTCGATGGTAAAACCACGCGCCAAGGGGTCAGGAACTTAGCATGCGGGCAGTGTAGGACTTGCCTTTGGAGGTGTGATGTGCCAAGCAAAGCTTGTATACGGCCAAGCTTGTATGTGGCCAACAAGTGGCTTAGTGGTGATGTACGGCCTTCTTTTATTGCCTCTATTCCTCTTCCTGATTGGTTGTGTGAGGCTCATTCCCACTGTAGTGTAATTTTTCCCAGATCGTGCGAAAGTTTGAAGCTGTTGTAGAGCTGTATGAAAACTTCAACACACATCGCCACTGGGCATTGCTCCCATCAATCGGAACTTCAAAGTTTCAGAAAGAGACAAGTCTGAGAAGGCGCCGCTCGAGCAGTCGTGCCTTTCCTGACAGCAGTATATTGCGGAGCATCAGGATGCGATATCTTCGACATGATGCTTCCATACATTGCGTGAGTTGTTTTCCCTACGAGCATTGCTAGGTGTTTGTTTTGGTTTTCTCACCACATCCACCAAAAGGCTGGGGTCTCTCACACATGGGGCTGGCAAATCCACGGAGCCTGCAGGCTTGGTTTCATATGTTTCGCGTTGATTTCCCGCTGAACCACACCAAACAGCGCCTTCCATCCTCGATGGGAATGACTCATGTTTCCTCGAGCCGGCCAGATCTACAAGGCCAAGGTCATCAAGGCGTGTGGAGCTGTCCGTTGGCTCTGCACTTGCCGTCGAAAAGCGTGCGTCTGTTTGTCTGTTTTGTGTGTTTGTTTGTTTCTTTGTTTGTTTGTTCGAGCAACACTTGCTTAAAGAGCCTACTTCTGAAGTAAGCCACTCGTCAGTGACCGGTGCAGCCTCGCCTCATGCCACTGAGTTGCTGGCTATCGTGTAGTCTATTGAACTTATCTTGTTATGTTCTGGTCTTCGTTCAGTACTGTCACGTGCGGATTTGCTCGGCCACAGTAAATCTAACAAGTTTCAGAATCAGCATGTTGCATGCCTGGCGTGCCTACAAAGTTCAAGTTAGAAAACAAGCTTACTGAACAGATCTAGATTTGATTCGAATTATCGTGCAACAGTGCAGCATGCATGCGTACAAACACACAGAGACAAACGTATATAATTACATATATACATATACAGACACGCAGCAGGACTGTTCGAGGCTCAGCTACTAGCACCAGCGCGCATGTTGTTTCTATGCCACTCACTGGCTTTCGCACTGGGTGGGCTTGAGCAAAAACCTTCGTAGCTGAAGAGTGAAAAGGCCCGTCTAAATTTGAATTTTGTAATCCGCACGCCTGAAGGTGTTGCACCACCATACCACCTGATGAGGTCTTGAGCAAGAAAGCTCGCGGCTTGGGACGCGCTGTTGGACGACCCCCTTGATTTGGCCTGTACCCGGCGAAGGGAGGTCTTGTCAGGTCATTTGAGGGCTTCTCCAAAATGGGCAGCCTTTTTGTTTGACCCTGTTTCTACTCCCCCCCTGAAACGAGAAAATATAGGGCACTGGCGTTCAAAATCGGCCCTTTCTTTTTGACCAACTCTCATGGGCCTTTGTCAGGTGAATACCTACATCAAGCTTCCGATGATCCGCCGGAACTCCTACGGCCACTATTACAACAATGGGCCCCAGTACAAGAGACTTGGCATCCGACGCCGAGTTTTCGAGCTATGTTGGTTCCGCCAGTGTTGATGGGTATCCAGGAAGTCTGTTGGTTCTCAAGATTCCTTCTTAGTGACCGCTGATGGCAACCCGTGCAAGTATGATGCCATGTTGCTCAATTGTTCCACTTGGCCGAAGTCATTGGGTGTGTTCATTATTGCATGTGCCGCTGGGTCGGCAAGCCATGGTTCGTTTTGCTTGGGGTAGCCCAAGGCGGATCTTTGAGAGCGCCTTTCCATTCCACAGAATATGACAGGGCCAGTATGTCGGACCTGTAGCCTTCGCCTCCAAATCCGGAAGTGGCCGACGTAGTCAAGGTAGCATTTCTCGTAGCACACTGTTATTGTTATCATTCAGCATTTGTTTGGTGGTTGTGCAGCAAGCCTTGGTGAGGAGAGATTCAGCGTGGAGCGTCAATGCAGTTGCAAGCACATGTCGACAAACTGGTTGCCGCCGGCCTAGCTGCAAAACCAAGAAGGAGTTGGTTTCTTTGATTCTTCCACACCCCTTGAAACCTGGTTGCTTTCATGTCCGAGGAAGGCGATCGTTACCTTCGAGGAGCTGGGCCAGATAGCAGTGTTCAAATGCAGTTTGAACGGCCTGGCACTCTGGTGTATGATGCACACTGCTTACCGTGCATTTCAGATTGCTGTCCTTTCTCGCAGGAAGCCCGCTTTGCCGCTTTTTTGCTAAGTACAGTGCCGGCGTCAGATGAACCCAGTTCAGTCCCGTGGAAGCGTGTAAGAGGGCTGCCAAGAGATTGCGGGTTCGAGGCGGCTGAACGTCCAATATTTGTTTGCTTTTCGAGGTCTCACCAACTTGCTCAGAATCCAACCCCAAAAGCTCTAAACATTTCAAGATAATCTCATGATATCTCGAACCGCATTCAAGGCAATGCTACTGTTTGTTCTGGGCTGGCCCAGCCTATCACAATCCTAAATTTCTGAAATTGAGGGTCCCCATGAGATTGAGGATTGCTAAGATTTGAAAGCTGTACCAGTCGCTACTCTGAATTGGATGCTGAATTCGGTTCCATGAGCTTGTTTGTACAATCACGCCCATGTGAGCAATCAAGACATTGGCACTGACTGGAGACAAGGGACCCTCGCTTTCGGAAATTAGTCCCGATGTGTGCATCCTCAACGTTGGAGCATTAAGACAGCCTTCAAAGTTGTCATAAAACGTCTGCCAATCCTGGGAGTAATCCTATTATTCCCCAGGCAAACCACTGGGCTATGCCGAGCAAGCTGGCAACATCCGGCAATGCCCTTTTCACAGCCAAAGCCGATTTGAGACATGCCTGCGGCCTAAAGCCCCAACCATGGCATGCACAAAACATTTAGCTTCTCGGTTTGCAGTTGGCTGACATGCAATATCAAGTGAGTTTACAGAACGTTTTTTACATGTCCATGTTCCCTGCAATGTGCTGTCTGATGGATCCTCTGGAGCCTAGTAAGCCGTTGCCTGGTGCTCGGCAAACGAGCTCACTGAATGTAGGCTTTGGCCTGCATTTGGGCAGCCACTTGTTTGCTTGTGTTGTTTGTCTTAAAGAAGCCTAGTGCCAAGGAATGCCCGCGTTCAGACATACCCAGAGTTGTCAAGCTGGCATGAAAGCACATTGCTGACGGCAGGAGACAATCCCCGACGATGTCAAGATGATGTACAACTCCAGGCTGGTTGGCTCGGATGTTGGTTGCATCTCGAATGTCCATTTGCCTCAAGCACGCCCTTCCTTTGCGACTCACGGCCGGCCTTCCTTTGGGCGGTAGGCTAGGCTTATTCGTTTGAGGAACAATCGCATCTTGGGCTCAGCCAGAATGGTGGGAGTAGGACGATCAACTGGGCTTCAGCATGCTCATTGGTTATTTCCCACGCCGGAGATGCAGGAAGGTGAGCGATGTTTCTTTTGGCTGCAAATGTTGCGGGACCGAACGTCTAGAACATGCCAGCTCTTTTAATCTCAGCGCACAGTGGTTCTGAGAGCAGGGCAGCACGTCCTTGTGGTAATTTTAAAAAGGCGGTCTTCCAGCAGGTCTCCAAGCCGAGGCAGGTCAGCCAGACCTCTAGATGGTCTCTTGCCTCCCCCTGGCACGGGGAGCGATCAACATGGCAGTGTGTTTATGCTTCCTCTTGAGATTTCGCAAACAGGGATCACAAAGGAGGAGTACAACTACGTCGTTTGTACATAGCCACGTCATCCTAAACGTTATCCTTTCCCCTTTCCTTCCAAAGGCCCCCCTGGACCTAGCGCCGAAAAGCAATGAACAACTGAGTTTGTTACGTACCAAAGTAGGAAACATGCTCTTCCACCTTCCAACGTTTCCCGGTTGTCCTGTTTGTTTTTTGTCCCGTGAGGCGATGACGTGAAGATTAAATCCCACAAGCAGTGTGCTTGCGAGGACGACTCTACGGCATGGCTTCTGTTGAAGCAGCCTGATGTTTACTTGGCCTATACCATCATACTCGGCTGTTCCCAGCGTCCAACAGAGGATTGCGGTGACGCAGATTTCGTGATGGTAATGTAAGCCGTTGCCGCGTTGGCATGGCGGCGCTACATTGTATTATGTGTGTGTTTTTGCTGCGGATACTCTTTTCAGGTTGGTTGAAAGAGAAGCCAAAACAAAATCACTATGTCTTGGGGTTCCTTCGTTTTGACACATACCCACATTTTTTCTGGCAGGAATCCCGGTATGAATCCGGCCATCACGAAGTACGACGCTTGCTCGGGCTTGACGGCCTTGGCAAGGGTGGGGTGGGGCAAGATCTTTGAGAGTCCGCCCTTTTCAATAATATTGCTTCAAAGTACGTGTCGCCCACCCAACATCCCCGACTCGTGTGGCTACGCGGGGCTGTGTTGACCACAGATTCATCAACCTGGCACATGATCAGGGAAGTGTTCCCCCCGCAAAACGAAGAATCCCCTTAAAAGAAGGGACACCCCAAACGCCACTCCCCAATTAATCCTCGCGCGGGTCAACGTGACCATCCATGACAGCCAAGGATACTCCGAGCATCCGGCGCTGGAAGCCCTTCCGGCCAGGCCAGAACGGGACTTAGGGATGCACGGACTCATCCCACCTGTGCAGTTCCATGCTTTGGCCGTATGTCCGCCTTTTTGTGCCGCCCGGACAGGATTGCCTCTTGCAATCAACCGACAAAACACGAGATGTCTGTCATTTCGTGTTCATGGCCAGTGGACTATTGTTCCATAGTTGTATGAGGTGAGCCGAACTGGGTTAAAGGCCCTACAAGCAGCTGCAACTCGGAAATCACGAAGGCCTTGTTTGGCCACATGTGGCTGGTTACGTACTGACGGAGATTCGACGGAGATCAGTTCGGAGAATTGATGGCCCATTCAAAGCGGCTCGTTGCAAGTGTGAGTGTTCGTGCATGTATTGGTGCTTGTCCTGGTGCGTGTGTTGATATAATTGCGTGCTTGCGTGCTTGCGTGCTTGCGTGCTTGCGTGCTTGCTTGCTTGCTTGCTTGCTTGCTTGCTTGCTTGCTTGCTTGCTTGCTTGCTTGCTTGCTTCCTTGCTTGCTTGCTTGCTTCCTTGCTTCCTTGCTTCCTTGCTTCCTTGCTTCCTTGCTTCCTTGCTTCCTTGCTTCCTTGCTTCCTTGCTTCCTTGCTTGCCTTGCTTGCCTTGCTTGCCTTGCTTGCCTTGCTTGCCTTGCCTGCCTTGCTTGCCTTGCTTGCCTTTCTTGCCTTGCTTGCCTGCTTGCCTTGCCTGGCTCGCTTGCCTGCCTGCCTGCCTGTCTGCCTGCTTGCTTGCTTGCTTGCTTGCTTGCTTGCTTGCTTGCTTGCTTGCTTGCTTGCTTGCTTGCTTACTGAAGATTGTTGAAGGCACCTGCAGCAACGCTTGACTTGGCCAGGCCTCGAACAGGCAGCAGCTGTGGTGTTCCTGTTCAGAACAATGTATGGAAAGAGGTTGCTGGATACACAAACTCATGTGAATCGGGTAGATAGATCCTTTTCGGGAAGACAGCTGCGCTGCTGTGTGTTGTTCATGTTCATGATGCACAGGGAAATCAACAATGAGAGAGTTGTGGAGGCTCTCCCTTTTGAAAAGTTGGGCTGTTTGCAGGGTAACCCGGGGTCAACGGCCCATTTTCGCTCCCTGAGAGCCCTGCCAGGTGCGAACCGCAAGAAGGACTGGATGCCTCGCCATCCTTTGGCTGCCTGGACTGCACTTGGACCGAATCGGTCACCGGCCCTTTGGCAGTTGCGGATGTTCTTGCGCCTCAGGGTCGACCCTTTGACAGGGTCAAGAACTGGCACACTGGAAAGCCTTCAAGGCAAAACTGCTTTGGAAGCTCTTGAGTCATTTCGCAAGTTGCATTCCCTCTGCATCTGAAACACGGCCAAGCAGCGTGAACAAACTTCCACAGAGCGAATCGCGCTTCTAGGTGGTAATGTTGTTAGGAAGAAGGCAGCGGTGCCATTTCCAAGCCCAGCATGCCGCTCACTTGCCGTAGCCCGTGTGCGCGCGTGTGTGTGTGTGTGTGTGTGTGGTGGCTTCTCTAGCATGTTCAGCATGGGCAGTGGAATGGTCAATCTTATAGCTTATAACTATAATTGATTATATAGTAAAATAGTGACTGTGTGCGTGATGGTTCAGACAGCAGAATTCTTTGGCAGAGAGTTCGCAGTGTGCACTTCCTGCTGTTCATCTACGCTTGCAGCAATGGCCGTCTCATACATACAACATGTGTTTGTTGATCACACGGCTAGTTAGACCACAAATTGGCTGCCCTCTCCTCTTAGGTCCAGACACAATCCCTACATCCACACTCACGCATGTCAATAGTCGTTAAGGACCGCCTTGAACAGCCAAGCCCGTTCGTTGGGCGATCGTTATGTTAGAATGACAGGTGCCCTGCGGCCTGCACTGGAGAGTCCAAGCCATCCTTGGGCCCCAGAGAGGGCAGGGTGCACTGTATCCCAGATTATGATCCACTTACGTGGCCATACAATCACGGCTTTTGCGGATTTTCAGGGTGACTATTCTTCACCCCCTTGGCTTAGCAACCTGCCGCTAGAGCCATAAGGAACCCACTTTGCGCCGAGGCTTGGGCGGAGCCGGTGCCCACTCTGCTGCGTGGGGATGACATCCCGCCGCCCAAGAGGCGTGCGCCAGCGTGCAAAGTGGGAGTCGCTGGAGGGCCAGTTGGGCCTGAGGGCTGTCCCCCTCTTAGGTGGCTCACTTTGGGAGGGCTTTGGCGGTTTGTTGGTCACGTCCCGAACGGGCAATGTGGCCTTGGCGGTCTTGAGGCTTTGGCTCTAGGCTCGTTGCCAGTGCCTTCCTCGCATTCCTGCTGAATTCGACAATTTGCCACGCCCCAAAATATGCACCGTGCCTCGGCGCGTGTGGGCTGGCCATTTGTTGTTCCCTCTTTCGCGCTGCTGGAGACTTCGGTAGCCGGAAACCTTTACCTTAGTTCCCACTCCAAAGGTCGAGAGCCACGTGCACTTGGCCAATGCATGTTGAGGGTTCCTTAGCAAGCATTCACACACTGTTTTCATGTCAGTCTTAATGGAGCTACGAGGGTTCCACTAGACACACACAAAGATGAATCGCAATTTTCCAAGCAAGTGGGAGTCGACGCAGGTCAACATTTGCCCCAACAAAAGTTGCAACAGCTTTTGCATGACAGGGGTTGTTAAGTTGAGCGCAGAGCCGTGCAGCATTCCAATCGAAACTCAGTCATCGCTGTCAGCATGTTTGACGTAGAATCCAAAGCTGCGTGGTCGGTGAAAGGCAGGACAGTGAACCAGCACATTTGCACGCAGACATATTTTTTGAAAACATTGTATACGTCTTGTATGTATATAGATATAGAGATACATAGAGACAAATGTATTTTGAGAGAGAGAGAGAGAGAGAGCAGAAGAGAGGCTAATTTAGGGCTGGGTTCGTGCAACAGCCAGCTGTTGCAAGAGTAATCAGCATACGTATAGCATGCGTGTACATGTATATAGAGAGAGAGAGAGAGAGCGGGAGAGAGGCTAATTTAGAGCTGGGTTCGTGCAACAGCTAAGCAGCATCGCCATGACCGCAACATGCAAGTCCGATATCGGTCGACGCTTCGAGGCCCAGTGAGGACGTAGCTGCGTCCGGACCTTTTTGGAGTTCACACAATAATGGCCCTCCGCTAGAATGAGGCACCATTCTGGCTTATCGGAAGCAGTTCAGCTTTAGTCCCGGAACCTAAGGTCATATTGACAGAGCGGCTAAACATGGAGTCATTGATTTGGTCTAGGGGTTTATTTGAGAAAAACAGGGCAGGGCTTGCCTTTCCTCACGGCTCGTCCATTTTGGCAAAGAACGCTTGTCGCAAGGGGCGACTCGGTGCTGCCGGACCACTCCAAGCCCTTCAAGCACTATGGCCAGGTGAAGGAGATTCCCCCTGGTACTCCCCAGCAGGACTCGCGGGACTGGCTCCCTCGAGCGAATTGGGCAGGTGAAAGGTCGGTCGATCTTGACTGGCTTTTGGGAAGCACACAAGCCCGAAATGGATGGCGATTTGTTACCACAAATCCACGAGCAAGCAAGGAAATGGGAGCTCTTCGAGCACCAGCGAGTTGGTTGTTCTTTGGTCCATGGTGTATGACTGGCGCAATATAGTGAAAACAGTGAAGCAACGGCGGCGTTTGGCCACGACCAAAGAAATAGCGGACATTTCGTTGACCTTTAGGTGACTTTGACAACCTTCATTGTTTGTGTGGGTGTTTGTGTGGGTGTTTGTGTGGGTGTTTGTGTGGTGATTCTGCTTGGATCTACCGTCGAATACCCAAGAAAGTGCAAGCAGAAGCTATGGTAACGTTCGATTTTGCCCGCAGGAGTTCCCACGGGTCAATGTCGCCATGCTCAGGGCGGAGAAGGAACCGTGTCGCCCTTGCGCCCCATAGGCGCATGCAGCTTCCCGCCTTCTTTCTTATGAGTCTTGTTGACACACCCCAGCGTTGTCATCGCAGCAGTGAGCCATAACATCTTATTCTGCTATGTATGCACTTGTTCTTGTTATTGTCCTCGTTTCTGTTATTGCTTTCGTTGTGGTGAAGCTGGTGGTTGCGGTCTGATGATGGCATAATTGTTGCCGTTGTCGTTGTTGTTGCTGTTGCTGTTGCTGCTGCTGTCGCTGCTGCTGTCGTTGTTGTGATCGGCCCTGATTCCTTAATCTTGACACAGCTGTCCCTTGCGCTTGTCATGTGGATGCTTCAGCGAGCACATGTTGTAGGTTTTGGCGTGTCTGGCTAAACATGAACAAGAGGCAGTGTAGCACATCATCTCCACTTCAGCTTTTGCAGGTGTTCGGCAAGTATTTTCAAGCACTGAGAGTCACATATTTATGAGTTGTTGCAGAAGTTGCCGATCCACCGTTGTGCCTGGCTGGCCTTCTCTCATTTGATCCGTTCCAAAGTTGCCGGCACTTTCATTTCTGGTAGTCATTGATACAAGCACGGAAGGCAGTCACATTTGAAGATGCACCACTTCCTTGGAGCTTGAAAAGGACCTGCACAGGTACTTGGGAGAAAGGATATATTTGTTACATGCACACTATTCACTGGGGTGCATGATGCACAAACCGAGCAAAAAAGCAGCTGACCTGACAAATGCAAGGATGACCGAATGATCAGACCGCAGTGGTGCTGCAACGCCCGACGTCGCCCGCTCGTTTGGCTCACCATGAGGTTTCGCATCGAGCGTCAATCGCTCCATGAACAGGGAGGATATGAGCGCAACATCTCCCAAGTTGATAAACACGCACTTGTTCGGATGTGTTGTCAATTACATTGATGCGTTTGGCTTAGATGCATTCGTCCAATGTTTGCCTGCATGCAGACAGAGCGGCTTGGAGCCCAAGCAGCACCTCCGAAACAAACTGCAGCACATTGGTTCTTGTAGTCATAGTCGGAAGGCCCGGGCAATTCGTAGTGAGATTCAGCAACCACTGTCTTTGTTTGCCAATCACATTATGTTGAGGCTGTTTGTGTCTCAGATTGTCGAATCTCTAAATCTGTGCTGATCCGCACGCGAGATGGTGAGCGCCTGAGTGGGGATCTGTGACCGGGAAGGGCTGATCTGTTGTATTGGTTCTGCGCATTAGGTGGTGTGACGCTTAATTCTTCCAATCAATGTGTGCCGTGGTCTATAGATAAGATGTTATGATGTGAATTATTGTTTACTTTCATCAGCCTACTGGGCCAGTTAGGTTTGCAGCCGCAAATGTCGTGGCCTTATTTGTGCTGTTCTCACAAGTCTACACTGGTTGCACTAGAGTCAAACCTTGTATCTACTTAGTTCTCCAATTCCACCTGGACCTTTGCAAGAATCTGATTGGATTCAGGAGCCAAGGCCCCAAGACCCTGCCCCCAAAGCGCACCCCCGAAGCAACTTGGTCACTTGTTCAGTCCGCAAAGAAGACAAGAAATGCAAAGCCTCAAGGGTATGCTTCAAGCTCAGTGGGCTTGGAGAAGGTGAAATCTTCAGATGGCACCACTGTCTAACCTTGTGTTGGATGGCCAGTGATTGTTTTTTCAGGGTTTGCTCCATGCCTAATATTTTAGGGACCCAGGAAATGACATTCCATAGAGGAGACATTGAAGACAGGTCTACATCGAAAGGAGCTCAGGGAGGCATAATGCTGGGTGACAAATACAACACTTTTTTTTTCCGAACATGAACACGACATATGGTTTTGCTTTTCCAGACTTTCTATTTGACACCCTTTCTGGCGACCTTGCTTTGCGGAACTGAAAAAAACAGGGAACATTCACACATGGGAATATAACCCGGAGGGTCCGGGTACCCTTCAGAGCTGATTTTTCAGGGATTGACAGAGGTGAAAGCAGCCTCCTCGGAAGGACCTTGGAGGGTTAGGCCAACCTTGTCTCAGCAGGCCAGGGCCCCTTAAATACCCCCAAAGGTTGAATTTCAACTGGTTTTACCCGGACGACAAATTTGTGAACTGGTGGTACCCCCGAAAAACCAACCTGGCTGGTTTCCTTTTGGTTTCAGCCCTGAACGCCGCGGGGGGGGAGGGCTGACCCACGCCTCAGGGTGTCACTTCAGCCTGAGGCACAGGTCCGGCTCGCCTTCCACAGCCGCCTGCAGCTTTCAGAGGCTGCCAGTGGCTCAGAGAGTGAAAATAACATGAGCACATGGCTCTATCATGTGTTAACTTCATGTTATACACATGCATATATATATATATATGTATGTATGTATGTATGTATGTATGTATGTATGTATGTATGTAATGTAATGTAATGTAATGTAATGTAATGTAATGTAATGTAATGTAATGTAATGTAATGTAATGTATGTATGTATGTATGTAATGTAATGTATGTATGTATGTATGTATGTATGTATGTATGTATGTATGTATGTATGTATGTATGTATGTATGTATGTATGTATGTATGTATGTATGTATGTATGTATGTATGTATGTATGTATGTATGTATGTATGTATGTATGTATGTATGTATGTATGTATGTATGTATGTATGTATGTATGTATGTATGTATGTATGTATGTATGTATGTATGTATGTATGTATGTATGTATGTATGTATGTATGTATGTAATGTAATGTAATGTAATGTAATGTAATGTAATGTAATGTAATGTATGTATGTATGTTATGTATGTTATGTATGTATGTATGTATGTATGTATGTATGTATGTATGTATGTATGTATGTATGTATGTATGTATGTATGTATGTATGTATGTATGTATGTATGTATGTATGTATGTATGTATGTATGTATGTATGTATGTATGTATGTATGTATGTATGTATGTATGTATGTATGTATGTATGTATGTATGTATGTATGTATGTATGTATGTATGTATGTATGTATGTATGTATGTATGTATGTATGTATGTATGTATGTATGTATGTATGTATGTATGTATGTATGTATGTATGTATGTATGTATGTATGTATGTATGTATGTATGTATGTATGTATGTATGTATGTATGTATGTATGTATGTATGTATGTATGTATGTATGTATGTATGTATGTATGTATGTATGTATGTATGTATGTATGTATGTATGTATGTATGTATGTATGTATGTATGTATGTATGTATGTATGTATGTATGTAATGTATGTATGTATGTATGTATGTATGTATGTATGTATGTATGTATGTATGTATGTATGTATGTATGTATGTATGTATGTATGTATGTATGTATGTATGTATGTATGTATGTATGTATGTATGTATGTATGTATGTATGTATGTATGTATGTATGTATGTATGTATGTATGTATGTATGTATGTATGTATGTATGTATGTATGTATGTATGTATGTATGTATGTATGTATGCAAACATACATGGTATACATGTATAATCATGTATATGTATATATATATATATTTTCACATAACATTATTTATACATATATGTATATATATACACGTATATGTATACCATATATATATTTGCACACATGTACACATGTGAGCAGCATGCACGTGTTATGAATTGAAGTGCCGCGTACAGCAAAAGCATTTAGAAACATATGAACCAAGCAACATGTGTGTGAACAATGTTCAAATTGCCTGGACCAGGTCCACAGCATTATTCAGGGAACGCACCAGAAATTCCGTGACTCCCTTCAGGGCTTTCCTTCTAAGGACCCTATGAACAGGAAGCTGTCTTGGGGGGTTGTCTTTGGTTTCCGTCTACCGTTTTCTATCAGAGTTTGGGCTTTGAACATGAGGAAGTACATCATTTTTCTACAGAGCGATAAGCGTACCCCTGCAAACACGGAACTACCGCCCCTTTTGATTTCGAGGTTCACAAATCAGGGGTCACATATCGCATATCTTCAAGGACTTGCCCTGAACCTGCGTAACGCTGTTTTGCTTTGATTGAAGGTCTCGAGTGATTCAGCTGGGGTTTTGGGGAAGAGAATCCACCCACTCAGGGCGGGAGAAAGCCTGATGAATCAATGAGTAATCCTTATCTTGGGTTATGCAAGGAGTGCAATGATGACTGGGTCTACAGTCTACAGTAACACATGGTTATGCCTTTTTGACGGTGAGGATAGGACTAATCCGGGCATCCACATGTCCGGTTCGGGGAGAACAGCTGGACCATGTTTTTGGTTGTTTCCATTTTCCACAAATCGCATTCCCGCTGCCAGGACCTGGGCACGTTGCAGGTGTGTTGGTTTCTTTTCATGTGTTGTGGTTCTTTCAGCTTTCTGCGCATGCCCTTTCACTGTCTTTCCTGTTTCCTGTCAATGTCCCTTCGGTTCTTTCTTGGTATCCGTTTCGGTTTGAATACTTTCAGCACCAACCTGGAGTGAGCATGTGATGTATTCCTCTACAGGCAACGCATGCCTCTTCATATTGAAGGGATATTTCTTTTGTGACATCATGTGTTGTTTTGTGCAAAACGCGTCAACAGTGGAATTGTTCATGCCTGCCTACTACTCCAAACAGAAGAATCACTCGCCTAGACACTATGTGGCGTCCCAAATGCCTGCAGTAAGTGCTCAGCAGAGTGGGCATCTAGCTTTAGTTAGGAGAACCAACTGGCCCTTGTTGCACGTGGCAGTATTTGCCAATGATTCTTGC